GCTGGCTGCCAAACCTCGTGCTGTTTACTTCAACTCTTGGCTGATTGCCAAGGCTCGTGAATCTCGCTTGTTTACTCCAACTCCCTGAAGTATGGTGAGCCCGAACAGGTGCTGCCTGCCTGATGATCTTGCTACGTGGCCAATGAGCTGCACTCTGCCTGCCCGCTGCACGTGTGTGTGCCCTGATTGGTCCTGGCTGGGGGGAGGGCTGTTGGAAACGCTATATAAAGAGCTGATGTGTGTAATAACAACGGGAGGCAGCATCATAGTGGGTGAGATAATGAGGAGAATATGAGAGAGAATAAGAGAGAATAAAGGAAGGAAGAGAAACAGAAGCTTGAACCTCACCTTGGTGTCTGTGTCGTCTTTCCTGGACTCTGCTGGACAGAGTCCTGGCTCGCGACAGTCATGGACAGTTGTTAGGTGCCAAGTGGGTGCCAGGAATTGAACCTGGGTCCTCTGCAAGAGCAGACAATGCTCTTAACCTCTGAGTCATCTCTCCAGCCCCAGGACAGAGCTTGTAGCCAAGACTGGCCTGTAACTTAATATATAGCTCAGGATGATCTTGAATTCCTGATCTTCCTGTCTAAAATTAAGTTTGACCTTTAAATTCTACTACCAATGGCCTCCAGAGCCTTTTCACACCTGTTTCCCCAGTTCACCTGTTATCACCCCTAGGCAATTGATTCTGAGAGTGCTTCCTCCACAGACAGTTGGTTCCAGGACCTTGAATAGGTCTACAGCCTCCTTTCCACCCTAGCCTCTGGTGGCTCCATTCAGGGAAAACTTTGTTCTTGTTTTGTTTTTACTTTGTCTTGTTTTTTGAGACAAGGTCTCACATGGTAGCCCAGGCTGGTCTAGCCTTGACTCCATCATGACTCAAAATAGATGTGTTCCCTTATCTGTTAGAGCCCTCCAAGGTTCACATGAATATTCATAGGTGGATGTTGTGTTTGATGACACTGGTGATCTTTCCCACATCCCTCCTGGTCTGTGTCATCTGAAAGCATGAAGCCTCCCTGCAGGTCTCACAGTGATTATATTGTACTGTGGCAGACAATATAGCCCGCAAGCATGGCGGAGGTGAATGCCAATGTGCTGGGAAGCACAGGGACGCTAGCTGGGACAGGCATGTCCAGCGTAGACTTGATCTCCTTGGGGTAGAATGATCTGCTTAGAAACTATTTTGAGTGGGCAGAGTGGGTAGAAAATGATTAAAGTCTGGTGAGATTTTACAAGGAAATCTTTAGGCATCATTTACATTACAAAGTTCAGCTTTTTTTTTTTTTTTTTTTTTTTTTTTTTTTTTTTGGTTTTTGAGACAGGGTCTCCCTGTAGCCCCAGCTGTCCTGGAACTATGTAGACCAGGCTGGCCTTGAACTCACAGAGATCCGCCTGCTTCTGCTTCCCAAGTGCTGGGATTAAAGGTGTGTACTACCACACCTGGCTAAAGTTCAGCTTTCTTAAAAATATTTTATTTTTATTTTATGTATATTAGTGTATTGCCTGCGTGAGTACACCCATGTTGTGCAATGTTGTAGAGGTCAGAAAAGGGCTTTGGAGTCCCCTGGAACTGGAGTTAAGGATGGTTAGTAGCTGCCATGTGGGTGCTGGGAATCGAACCTGGGTCCTCTGCAAGAGCAGTCAATGCTCTTAACCACTGAGCCATCTCTCCAGACCCCAGCTTTTGGTTTTTTTTGAGACTGGGCCTCACTGTGAGCCCAGGCTGGCCACCAAGTCCTGCCTGGGCCTGCTACTTGCTGGGATTCTAGGCATGTGCCACTATGGCTAGCTACATCTTCATGTTCCAAGGATCTGACACCCTCTTCTGGCCTCCACGGGCACTGCCTAACACAGGTGCACTTTCATTCAAGTAGGCAGACCATCCAACTCATAAAAATTGGGGGGGAAAAAAAAGGATCTTAAGGGAGATCTGTTTTCTCCAGAGACTAGCTCCCTGAAAGGTTATCTAACCCTAAGTGGGCAGCCCTAAACACATGTACACACAGCTCCACTAACTGGGCTCAGTGCATTATATAATGTACATGTGTAGTTTTACAAATTCATGTATGTGTAATACAAGAGCTCAAGGAATTGTGAGTGGGAGACAGAGGAGTTGGGAAGAGTAAAAGCAATGCAAATACAATACCCACGTATGAAATTCTCAAAAAAAATTTTTATCTTAAAAAATCTTATATGGAGGAGCTGGAGAGATGGCTCAGAAAAAAGCATTGGTTACTCTTGCAGAGGACCTGGGTTTGAATCCCAGCACCCACATGGCAGCTAACAATCAGCTGGAACTCCAGTTCCAGAATTTGACGCTTTCTTCCACTGGCACTGCACAATACACTTATACACTTAAGTTTTTTAAAAATTTTAAATAGGAGCTGGGTGTGGTGGTACACACCTTTAATCCCAGCACTTGGGAGGCAGAGGCAGGCAGATCTTTGTGAGTTCAAGGCCAGCCTGATCTACATAGTGAGCTCCAGCACAGCTGGGGCTACAAGGAGACCCTGTCTCAAAAAGACAAACATATATATATATATATATATATATGGGGAGCTGGAGAGATGGCTTAAGAGCACTGACTGCTCTTGCAGAGGACCTGGCATTCCCAACACCCACATGGTGGCTATGAACTGTCCTTAACTCCAGTTCCAGGGGAATCCAAAACCCTCTTCTGACCTCCACAGCATTGCAGGACACGGGTGCACTCACATACATGCAGGCAATACTCATACACATACAAAAATAAAAATGAAAAAATTTTTAAGTTTTATATGGAAATGTAAGGAGTCAAAATTAAAATTGTCTTGGAAATAAAATTAAAACTAGCATTAAAAAAAAGCTAAGAGTAGCCCATCAGTAATTAATAGTGTGACCAGCATCCTTCTATCACCAAACATGACCTTTTCACCGTTACCATTTGTTAGGCAAGGTCTACATTCCTATTTCTGCTCAGTATAAGTCAGGAAGTGAAATCAAAGTCTCAGATGGGAATATTGAGACAGGATAGACAGAAAATTAGGAGACATGAGAAGGGAAATGGAACCCAAGGTCTTATCTATTCAGGTATTCAGATTGCCATGAATGACAGTGAGGCAGAAAAAAAAAAAAAAAAAATCCCAGGGCAGCACTAGAGCCCTAATAATGTTTGGAAACACAGAAATCTGAACTAGAGGACAGCTCTGCATCACTACAAAACCAGAACCCTAGCCCTAGCTCTCTGTGGCTTTCCTTTAAGAAATGTTGCAGTATCCACACTATTCATGGACACCTGATGAGCTGGTGTGAAGAAACGTGTCCACAGTTCCACATCTGATGTTTTAGGAGTGTCAAACTCTGCATATAAACAAGTTTAAAAAATAGTCTCTTTACCGTGGAATGGCAGGTACAGCCTATCTATGTAATAAATCAAGTCTTTTCCTATATCTTGGACCTTCAAGATGGCTTTGTGGGTAAAGGTTCTTCTAGGCAAGCCTGGCAAGTTGTCCTCTGACTTCCACACACAAACCACACCACATACATCTATACATTAAAAGCACACATACAATAAAATTTTGAAGTCTTTCCTGAATCTGACATGCTTCTGTAGATGTCCGAAGTCTTTGGGCAGGAAACACTCACTCAAGATACTCTGGAGGCTGGACATGGTGGCACATTAATCTCAGGACTCAGGAGACATTAGCAGACAGATCTCAGTGAGTTCGAAGCCAGACTGGTCCACACAGTGAGTTCTAGCCAGCCAGGGCTGCATAGTGAGACCCTGTCTCATAAAAAAAAAAAAAAAAAAAAAATCCTGTATATCAAATATTTCTTCTTTAATTACTGTGAAAACTTTCAAATAAAAATCACTGTTGTCATGCCGGGCATGGTGGCACATGCCTTTAATCCCAGCACTTGGGAGGCAGAGGCAGGCGGATCTCTGTGAGTTCAAGGCCAGCCTGGTCTACACAGTGAGTTCCAGGACAGCTGGGGCTACAGGGAGACCCTGTCTCAAAAAGGCCAAAAAAAAAATCTGCAAAAAACTTGTTTTCTCATCTCATAGACAAATGACACACTGCAGTACATACCCACTTTTCTTTAAAATTGTGGGAGACAGGGCATCACTGGTAGCTCAATTTTGACCTTGCCATCCTCCTGCCTCAGCCTTCAATATAAAATAGAAAATTTCTGATGACTCAGGGGTTAAGAGTACTGACTGCTCATGCAGAGGACCCAGGTTTGGTTCCCAGCACCCACATGGTGACAATCAACTGACCATAACTCCAGTTCCAGGGGATCCAACACCCTATTCTGACCTTTGTGGGCATTGTATGACACAGGTGCACTTACATGCATGTAGGCAATACACTCATACACATAAAATAAAAATATTTTTAAAAAACAGAAAAATTTCAGGGGCTGGAGAGATGGTTCAGTTGGTTAAGAGCACTGACTGCTCTTGCAGAGGACTTGGGTTCCAGTCCCACAGCACCACACGGTGGTTAACAACCATCTGTAGCTCCAGTTCCAGGGGATCTGACACCTTCTGACCTCTGAGGGCATCACATGTCACACGCAGGCAATACACTCATACACATAAAATATAAATAATAAAAATAGAAAAACTTCAAAAAAAACAAAGCATTTAAACTTGTTTTAATATAAAAATTCCTATCTTGACAAATGATAAAGTAATGAAATTCTGCTGTTCATGCCGCCTGTGCAGTGTGTACATTCTAACTTTACTTCTGTGGCTTTTAGGGTTTCTCCACGCTAAGGTTACAGTGACAAGATTCCTCCAGCCCCTCAGTAATACAGTGATACTCCTATGCAGGGTAGATGGTTAAATCAAAACTTCAAACATGCTCTTTAACTTGACCAACATTTAGGTAATAACAGCTTTCCCCTCATTCCTGAATAAACTGCTAGTTATCTCTGGAGAGAGATGTGAAGGTTCATTGTCCAATTTTAATTTTTTTGGACGTATTTTTGTGGAATGAAAGTACCCCAGATTGCTAAAGTATATTGTCCAACAATTCTTTCAAAGAGGGTATATCAGAAACAAACTTCTTGAATTCTTCAATATCAAAAAATACCTTGGTTTTGCCCTTAAAATTGAACGCCAATTTGGCTGGATAAAGGATTCTTGGTTGAAAGCCTTCTTTCTGCAGAACTTCTATGATTCTGGCCCACCGACTTCTAGCATCTATGGTGCCTGGTGATAAGTCAGCTGTCATTCGGATTCTTGTTCCTCTGTAGGTTATTTCTTCTCTCTCTCTAGAAGCTCTTAGGATTTTCTGCTTATCACTAGAATCACAAAACCTCACCAACACGTGTCTAGGAGTGAGTTGGTATTCATCAACTGTACTGGGTATTCGATGAGCACTGAGAATCTCAAGACTCAGGTCTTTAAACTCTGGAAAGTTTTCTTCAATTATTTCTTTAATTATGTCCTCTGCTCCATTCTCTTTGTCATCTTTTTCTGGGATTCCTATCACTCTGATATTGGAGCTTCGCAACCTGTCTTCTTTATCTCTTAGCCGTTCTTTATCAGTTATCTCCTTGGCCAATTGAGCTGTATCCTTAGTCAATCCTTCCACTACATTTTCTTGATCATTCACTCTCCCTTCAATCATGCAAGCTAAACTATTCAGATCATCCACTGAATTCTTAATCTCTAAGACTTCCTTACCGTACCATTTCTTTACATATTCAATCTCCCCTTTCAACTCTCTAAACATACTGATCACACTTCTAAAGTTTTCATCGGTTTCCTGGATTAAGGCTGCTTCCTTGGCTGTTAGCTCCTCTATTTGTGGCGTTCTGGGTCTCCTTTTCTGTATGTTCTTTAAAAGTGAGGTAACTTGTGAGGGAGGACTCAGATTCGCACATGAATGCCATTTAGGATCACCATTAGTTATCTCTAGTGATTCTGATGGTGGGGCCAAGTACAAGGTTAAACAGGGTGTTGCAACTCTTTGACTTTGGGGAATAGTAGTTCCTTCTTCCTCCTGGCACTTCACCAGCTTTTTCTTCTCAGAATCCCAAACCAAGTAACTGAAAGAAATTTCTTTAAGTCCAAATAAGGTCTTCTTTTTCTTAGTCTTTATTTTTACTTCTTCTTCTGACTCAGAATCTATTACTAAACCAATTAAACTTATTTCCTCAAAGTCATGCTTTGTATTTACCACAGTAAGGCCCTGAAAGGCTGAGCTCTGTTTTTCATGTAATACAGAGGCTTCTCCATCCTCCCCTGTCTCTGAGTTCTCTCCTCCCTCTTCCTCCCCTGAGGTATGTTCTTCTTCTCCCTCTTGCCCCATCTCTGAACCCTCTTCCTCCTCTTGCCCCAACTCTGAGGCCTCTTCCTCCTCTTCCCTGAACTCTGAACCCTCTTCTCCCCCTATCTCTGAAGCCTCTTCTTCTCCCCCTATCTCTGAGGCCTCTTCTCCCCCTATCTCTGAAGCCTCTTCTTCTCCCCCTATCTCTGAGGCCTCTTCTCCCCCTATCTCTGAAGCCTCTTCTTCTCCCCCTATCTCTGAGGCCTCTTCTCCCCCTATCTCTGAAGCCTCTTCTTCTCCCCCTATCTCTGAGGCCTCTTCTCCCCCTATCTCTGAAGCCTCTTCTTCTCCCCCTATCTCTGAGGCCTCTTCTCCCCCTATCTCTGAAGCCTCTTCTTCTCCCCCTATCTCTGAGGCCTCTTCTTCTCCCCCTGTCTCTGAGGCCTCTTCTTCGGCCTTGTGACTTTGACCTCTTTGATGAACAGGAAGCTCAGACCATCACTTGCTGTTCCTCTAATTTCATGCTTTGTGTCTCCTAGAGTTTTACCCTGAAAGCAAAAAGTTAAACCATGTCTTTTAAAGATTAAATCTTCTGACGAGCATGATAGCGCATGCCTTTAATCCCAGCACTTGGAGGCAGAGGCAGGCGGATCTCTGAGAGTTCTGAGAGTTCAAGGCCAGCTGGGGCTACAGGGAGACCCTGTCTCAAAAAGACCAAAAAAAAAAAAAAAAAAAAAAATTGAATCTTCCATTTCACCCTCTAAATTTTAATGTGCACATATACACATTATGACAAAGAACAATATCTGGAAAATTGTGTAACTATAATTCATTGATTTTATGTGTTGCGATGGGGACAAAACCCAGGGTCTTGCACATGGTAGGCAAACACTCTACCATTCTCTAGGTCCCATTACTTATCACAAAGACACAGGTTCCCATACAAATCCAGTTGTCCTATGATCTTAACACACTTGCAGAAAATTTCCATGAAAATCATACCTAAACTTCTATATCCCCAGTACTTAATTCTTGTATGTCACTGATTGAATGAGAACACTTAATTATTTCTATGTTGTTTAATAAAATTTTTAAATTATATTTATTATGCCCGTGCATATGTATGAAGGTCAGAGTACAGCTTGCAGGAGTTGGCTCTATTTTCCACAATGCAGAAGTCCTAAGGATTGAAATCAGGTCTTAAAGCTTGTGTGGCAAGCACCTTTACCCACTGAACCTTCCTGCCAGTCCCCAATTTTAATCATTTGTTTTTTCAGTTAGGGTCATTATAGTCCAGGTTGTCAATCCTCCCGCCTCCACCTCCAATCCCAACATATTCATAGAAACCATGCCTGACTTACAGTGTATTGGAGACTGAACCCAGGCCTTTAAGCATGCTAGGCAAGCACTCTACATCTGAATAGCCCTGGCAGGACATTCCTAAAATACTAAGCAGAAGATGGGCATGGTGACGTACCCATCATCCCAACATTTCAGAGGTTGAGGCACTAGGATCAAGAATGGCAGGCTAATCTGGGCTACATGAGGCCTTTTATCAAAACAAATAATAAGCAAAAAAATCTTAAAGCCAAAGGGACCCAGGAGTGGAAAATTCTTGACATACTGTGGCACAATCACCATTCCTAATGATATACTATACAACAAAGACAGGAAAATAGAGAAACACAGGACAGACGTGGTGGTATGCTCTTGTAATTCTATCACTAAGGAGGCTGGGACAGGAGGAAAGTACAGCCTGTACTAAACAAGACCCTTTCCTCTCCAAACTGGAATTCTCATAGCAATTGAAGGCAAACTAGGACAGAGACCTTGTCTCAAATAAACAGGAAACCAGAGTGGTCAGTAAATATAAAAGCCAGTTCAACCTAAATTAGATAATTGAGATGTTGAAGGTAGAGCATAGTGATGGTGTAGATGAAGGAGGTGGGGGTGGGGAGGGGGCTGGAGAGCCAGCTTAGTGATTAAGAGTTTGTGCTGTTCTTACAGAGTTCAGTTCCCCAAATCCATACATTATCTGCCTGTAACTACAGCTCCAGGGGAATCCGACAACCTCTGGCCTCCCTGGGCCTCTGTACTCAGGTGCACAACTCCCCACCCCCAATTTCATAATGAAAAATAAATCTTGGGCCTGGAGAGATGGCTTAGTGTTTACAAGCACTTGCTGTTCTTGCAAAAATATTGGTTCCCAGCACCCCTGCCACAAACACACCTTTTTTCAGAGCACTAACAAATTGGTTTTTCTTATTTTAGATAGGGTCTCACTGTGTATCCCTGGCTAGCCTGAAACTTGCTGTGTTTACCAGGCTGGTCCAGGACTCACAGATTTACCTATCTCTACCTCCTAAGTGGGGTTAATGCCCAGCACTAATTGTTGACTTTTAAAAAATACTTATTTTATGTGTGTATATGTGCACATGTGAGTGAAGGTCCAGAAAAAGACTCTGGATCCCCTAGAGCTGGAGCTACAGGCAGTTATGAGCCAACCACCATGGATGCTGGGAACCTAATTGAGGTCCCCTACAAGGGCAGTATGCTCTCTTAACTGCTGAGCCATCTCTCTAGCCCACAAATGTTTTTCATAAAATATTTTTTTTAAAAAGCTGCCCAGGATGTAAAGTTGAAAAAATCATAACACACAGAAGGTATCAAACCTAGGTGAGTATCAGCATTGATCAACAGGCTTTAGTGAAACACTGTTATTTGAATGTCTTGAACTGCTGATGAACAGGACTCAGTAGGTTTACTGCACTTTAAAAATTAAACCCAAGATGGGCATGGTAGGGCACACATTTCCTACTTGGGAGGCAGAGACAGGAGGATCTCTTGTGAGAGTGAGGTCAGGGAGCTACAGGGAGACCCTGTCTCATAACCCCCTCCCCCTGTAAAAAGAAAATTAAACCCATTTAGCCATACTAAATACTCTGGCACTATTCCTATGCTTAAAGCTTTTTAGTTGTATTGACCCAATTCTGGGATTTTCCCCCTTTTCTTTTTCTAACCCAAAGCCCCTTTTTCCCTTTTAATGGTTTCAAAGATGTTCTTACAGTGTTGCCCTTGAATTTTACCTTATTTGTTTTCCTAGCAATTTCTAGAATGTGTGTAAATGCCTAGCAAACAAACCTTAACTCTCATATTTCTCTCAAACTTCCAACACTACTCTTTAAGTTCCAAATTACAACTAAATAATTACATTTTAAAAAATTTTACTTATCTCAAAATATTTTTTTTTGAATCTTATGTATTTGTACTTTTTATTTGTATGAGTATTTTGCCTGTGTGAGCACCATGTGTATATGGTGCCTGTGGAGGGGAGAAGAGGGCGTCAGAACTCTTGGAACTGAAGTTACTTACAGTTGTCAACTGCTGTGTGGGTGTTGGGAACCAAACCTGGTTTGGGTCCTCTCTCTGCAAGAGGAGCAAGTGCTTTTAACTGCTAAGCCATTTCTCCAATCCTCAAACTACAGTTTTTTCTTTTCTGGTCTTTTTTGAGACAGGGTCTCCCTGTAGCCCCAGCTGGCCTAGACCTTGTAGGGCAGCCTGCTCTACAACTCAGAGATTCGCCTGCCTTCCAACTGCTGGGACGAAAGGTGTTTGCCACCACGCTACACTAAACTACAATTTTTAGCAGTATGTGTATTATCAAGAATTCTCTCTTAGAGCTAGAGAGATGGCTCAGTGGAGTACTGGCTTCTCTTGTAGAGGATCTAGGTTCAGTTCCCAGCACCCACATGGTGGCTAACAACCGTCAGTAATCCCGTTCCAGGGTCCTCTTCTGACTTCTGCAGGCATTGCACGACATGGGTGCAATTACATACAGGCAATATACTCACATACATAAAATACAAGTAAGTAAATACTATTAAACAAAAGAATTATCTCTTGACAGGCATGGTCACTGGGTTTAATCTCAGCACGTGGGAAGCAGAGGCAGGCATATCTCCAGGCCAGCCTTGTCTACACAATGAGTTCCAGACCAGATGGAGCTACAGGGAGACCTTGTCTTTTAAAAAAAATAAACAGAGGCTGGAGATGGCTCAGCGGTAAAAAGCACCAACCAACTGCTCTTGCAGAGGACTCAGGTTCGATTCCCAGCACCCCCATGGCAGCTACAAACCATCCTTAACTCCAGTTCCAGGGGAATCTGAAGCCCTCTTCTGACCTCTGTGGCAATGCACAACACGGGTACACTCACATACATGCAGGCAATACACTCATACACATAAAATAAAAATGATAAAAATATTTTTTAAAAAATAAAAAATAAATAAAAATAAACAAAAACAGGAATTAATGTCTTAAAATTGACTTACTCTTCAAAATAACCACACCATTACAAATAAGTTTTACGTGCTTATATGCTTACCAGTCTTTCTTGAATCCAAATTCTTCCTTGATTTGTTGCTTCATTTTGTGGAAACACATCTTTCAGTAATTCTCTCAGGAAAGACTTTTTGCTGATAAATTTTCTGAGGCTTTGAAGGTCTGAAAAGGTCTTTACTTCCCCATCACATTTAAATGCTAATTTAACCGTGCACAGCACCTCAGGTTCTAGACTGTTCTCTCTCAGAATGTTGAAGATGCTCGCCCACTGCTTACTGATGTCCAGTGTCGCTGCTGAGAAGTCGGCAGCCAAGCTAAGGACAGCTCCTTCGTCCAGCGAATTGTCTTCTCTGGAGGCAGTCAGAACATTCTCTTTATTCCTTGACCTCTGGTGGCTTGTTTCCTCTTGGATTTCTTTGGCTGGTTCATCCTCTTGATTACTCACGTTCTCTCCTTCTGGAACTTCCACACTCCCCACGACTCTGTAGCTCTGTGAGGATTTCGAACCATTATATTCTTTAGCTTTGTCCAGTTTCTTACTGGGTTTACTCACTTTTCTTTTCACGGTTGGGTTTTCAGTATCATCATCTACTTTAGAATTCTGCTCTTCTGTTTTCTCCATGAGCTTTGGTTCTGCTGAGGTTGAATCTTTTTCAT